AACACCCTGGGGCCTGGAACCAAAAAGGCTCTCTTGTGCATTGTTTTTACCTTTGGCACGGTTTTGTTGCCAGGTGACCCCTCCCGACACACCGAAGCAACAGCAATAACAAATGTATCCACCACGAGCTGTGTCCGTGCTCCAACTTGTGTGGTAAGTAACACCAACCAGGAGGCGGCAGGACGCCTAGAAATTGCGAGCACGAGAGTCTGGCATAGCCTGCAAAAAAAACCGACTCGTCTGCCTGTTAAGATCAGTTTCTATTTGTTTTGTCCGAGGCACAAAGTAGGTTGGTTTACAGCAGCAGTACCGATGATCCCTCCCCACGTACCGAAGCAACAGTAATGACGATGACATCCGCCACGAGCTGTGTGTATCGCTCCCTTCCCTCGCCAGTGCTGTCTGGCCCCTTCTAGCGGTGTTGCGTGTTTAGCTGAGTGCTTCCTCTGTTTCTCCTGGTTTGAACCGAGAAACTGTTGCGTGTGTGTTCCTTTACCTCTCGTCCAACTCCCGGGGACGAGGGTACAGTGGGGGGTCCGGTTTAGCGACCCCTGTTTAGCGACATGCCCTGTTTAGCGACCCCAAAATCTCGTGACACCGCTGCACCCCGGATTAGCGACCATCCATGTGGTCGCTAAACCGGTCGAACCCTCAATAGCGACATACTGGGCTGTTTTCTGCGGGCAATAGCGACCATCGGATCAAATTTTGCAGAGACCCCGCGTTCCTCCACACACAAAGACACAAAGACCGCGGGACACGTACACACACGAAACATGCCGTGCGCCAATGGAGAGTTGTGCAAAGAGCCGGATGTGGAACTGCGAGCACCCCAGGGGCATGTTTGCCATGGTTGCTGCGGTGGACCCTGCACGAGATGTGTGGGGAGATGGAGGTTCTCGATGGCATCACCGTACCTGCCACGAGTGTGCATCCAAGAGCATGCAGGCTTCCCCACCCGTCTCGAACCCAAAAAAACGAAAAAGAGAAACCGAGGTAGATGGGACGGGAGTTGGCGGTGCGGGGGGTGGGGAAGTGATGGCGCCGCCGCCCTACTCGGAGTTCTCGTCGCATTTTGGATCGCTTGAAGAGTGTGAGGAGTCGTGGACTAAGCGAGGCAGCGTACCATCTTGGCAAGGCAAAGATGCTGTTCATCGAAGCACACTCCGCGAAACCAGCGCGACAGATGGACATCAGAGACATGTTGAGTTAAACATGATCGGTAACACGCGAAAGTAGCAGAATGAAGTCACTAGCAGCGCGAGGTTCTTTGCCGCTTGGGCGTTCACGAACTTTCTCCGTTCCATGCAGGGGTGTTTCGTTTTTGTGTTTTTGGGGACGTTGCCATAACTTTTCCCCCTCTTCCGCCTTTGTTTTTTCAATCATTCGCAGATCGGACTTCTACGTGTTTGTTTATTGTACATGTAGGGACAGATTGTTCAGCATGCAGGAACACAAAAAGACACAAGGCACCCTCTGTACGCTTGTTGTTGAGATATTTCCTATAAACTTCGGAGGGTACAACAAGCTTGCTGGTTGATTAGAATGCATACCGTAGAGGAACTACTCCCCGGTTGTCCACCCTAAGGTGCTTCTTCTTTCCTCTACCTTCATGTGACTGCTGCAATACAGTTAGCGTCCGCAATTAAGAAACGCTTATTTCAGGTCCAGCCTCGAATTCTTCTTGTGGGCTATAAACTCAGCGTATGTCATTCAATTTCTTGTGTCAAGTATTTTTTCGTGCCGCCAAATCCTGCTGAATTTCTTATATCGGCAATTTCTTGTTTTCTCTGCTCACGAGAGCTGGCGGAGAGCACCGTCGAAACCGTACAGCAGACAGCATATCGTGGTTCGCAGCCTGTCTGGTGTGCTATGCTAGAGCCGGAGCGCCAGAGAGCGCCAGAGCCGGCAGGGGACCGGAGGGGGCGCCGCAAAATAAACACACTCCCCTCTCGTCCCACTAATAATGCATGGGAGAGAGTGGGAGAGGGGGGAAAGAGCGAGAGATAGGAGGAGCTACGGGGTGTTTCTTATTCGACACACTCCACCGGTAACCCCTCGTTTCTTACGTAGTAGGGCAGCGGTCGCCGCTGTTTCTCATTGAGATATTTCTTATTGTGTGACCCAGGCTGAGCCATATTTCTTAGCCCTATTTTCTTAAATGTCGTGGGAAAGTGAGCCTCTATTTCTTAATAAAATATTCTTAATTTCTTAATAAAATTTTCTTAGTTGCGGGCGCTAACTGTACGACGCATACATGACCCGGTCAAGAATATTTTTGCAACAAGGCCTCTTTAGTCCCACGAAAATTGCGCTATTTCCCGGTTTAGCGACCGCTATACCATTGAGGGTCCCGGTTTATTTAGCGACATGCCCTGAATAGCGACCATATTTCGTCGTGACACTAGGGGCCGCTCAATCAACCGGGGTCTCCACAGTAAAAATATCCGATTATTTTGGGGACAAATGCCTGTAGAGCACGGCCGTATGTTGTCGGAGCGCGACGAAACCGGTGTGAAGGATGAGTGCCCTCACTATGTAGCTTCCTCCTCACAACCCAGCAGATCGTATATCGGTGCTCTATAGACGTCGTTCTCGTCTAAAAAAGGCGATAATTTATTGGCGTTCCCTTCCCCGATGGTGTTTGCGGAAGGGTCGCTCTACAGCCTGATGGTTGAAAGAGCCCGATATTGTAAGAGCCTTTTTTTCCCTCTTGAAAAATGAAGGGAAAAAATATTGAGCTTCGCGCTCCGCGGCTCACTGTACTAAATAGGACTTTGTGTGTGATAACTCGAGCCTGTCATCAGCCCCTCAATGGAGATGGAGTCTTGATGGAAATGGATCAGCTGCCAATCCTGGCAAGCCTATTGCCTACTTCTCTGGCCCTGCAACGCTAATAATTTGCGTTCGTTTCCCCATCCTTGACGTTACAGGGAATGGTGCTCTTCTTCTCTTGGCCGTCATAGGCTGTCATCAAGGACGACCGCATCAACTCATGGCTGACCTGTAACACCCTCATCAAGCGGGAAGAATTATCTGCTGCTACCGCACCAACCTGCCCCCGCCAAGACTCTCCCTGGCCTCTTTTGAGTTAAACAACTGCCGCCGCTGCCACCCCCGCTCACGCTGTCTGTTGGCCGCGATACTTTGCTTCTAGTAATTAGTGGATCAGGACGTTTAGAGACAACCTTCATTCACCCTTCTCAGCTTGCTTACTTCTCACTCGTTCAGCTCCTCCCAGCCTTCATCCGATACGGTTTGCTGACTTCGCATGCATATGTCAACCCCGTATGCATACGTTCGCATAATCGCTTCGTTCCGTCATATCGTCGTTGAGGAACCTTGGCGGCAGTGCTTCGTACTTCCACTGCATTTTTTAATCGTGATTCTTGTTGAACAACATCTGAACTGCACACGCGTGGGACCTGGGACCTGGGAAAAACTTCGTCACTATTATCTAAGGCGCGGGTATCAGGACAACCAAAGGTCGACTATACTTTCCTTCCGTGTTGTTCCTATATGAACGCTCCTATTTACAAGTCAGAGGTACTGCTGCTGTAGTACTTACACAGCATGCAGCAGCAGTGTATTTCCGATTCCATGTATGTATGTATGCATACGCCTCTCTGTGCGTCAACTGACGTTTGCGTCAACAACTAACTACACGGAACTGTTTTTCGTAGTGCGCGAAGTACTACTATATTATTAGCCTGTGCTTGCCCTCCCTGTGCATATATCATGCAAAATATGCATACAACAGATGACGGGATGTACTGTAGGGAGCGAGGTAGAGAGATGATATAGGGTCTACTTGCAATGTTATGCATCATGGCGTGTGTGTGTGATGTGGGACCATTTCAGCCCTGTCTGTGCAGTACGCAACCTCACTCCTCTGCTGTTGCACTCTTTCTTTTTCACTGCATGTAATGTATGTACGTCCACGGACGCATTCTGACAGCACTTCACACAGCAGTTAGTTGCGCGCCCCGAACTTGTGCCATGCATGGTGTTTTTGTACTGACACCACTCCAGACAACTGTACGCTGTAGTCGACAAAACATCCATTATTGGTTGAAGTGTGGGACTCTGGGGATGATGCTGCTGCTGTAGTCGAATGTAGTTCAGTTTTGGGCACACACACGCAAACGTGCTGCAGGGATGTACAGGACCTGTAAACTTCTTCGGGCTTGCTGTACCCTTTTTTTGTCTGATGATGATGGCTCTAGCATTTTTGTGACCACGGACCACGTCTTTGCGATAAGATTTTGGGATTAGCCACACTGACATGAGTTTAATGTGAAGACAACAACAACAACTCTCATTCGATTCTGGTTAGAGTTCCGACAACAAATAAATATATCATTTGCCCCGTGGATCTGTTGATCTGTTGTTGTACCCGCAAAAAATCCGCACACTTGCTTGCTCTTCTTCTCTTCTTCCGTTGAGTTTTCACCTATACAGTAGTATGTCGATTTGTTGGCGTGGTGGTGTGACGGAATAGGATGAAGTTGGAAGCCTAGGGAGGGCGGGTAACATCCCAGAGGATAGCACCCACGCGGAAGCAGGAGACTGGAGCGAAATCTCTTGAACCTTTATTAGGTAGTATGCGGTCATCAGGGCCAATCAATGCTGGCGAACATCGCGACCTTTGCCACGTCGCGAAAAAAGACCAAAAAAAGACTCCGCGAGAAAAAAATCAAAATCCAATATTGCGGAAAAGTGACCACAACAGAGACAGAACACTGGAGCATCACAGGCCAGCAGCGATGTGCGATAAGAACGTTTTGGTTTCGGGCCGTTACATACTGAAACCAGTATGTTTGGGAGGGGCAGACTCCCCGAAAAAAAAAAAAGAGACCAACAAGAAAGAGGAGACGGCGCCGCACACCACCTTCGGAACACGCCAGTAACACACATCCCCTCCCAAACCTACCTTCCGCGCGGGGTTATTGCGGGTCGTTAGGTTCCCAAAAGCACCCGCAGCACAGCAAGCGCAGCGCATGGAGCCTGGAGGCACGGCGGGGCCACGCCGGGTTGGCACCGGCGGCACTCGGAGAGAGAGGACTGCGACCAACACGCCGCGGCTTCGAAAATCGGTAGGGAGAGGACAGAGGGACAACTTCCTTGTTTTTTTTGTGTAATGTTGCGTTCTGTCTTGATTTTTTTTTCATCTTGATCTGCAACTAAGAACCGCCGTTTTCGGAGCAAGGGAGAGGTGGAAAGAAGGAGAGACAACGATGGGAGGCTAGCGGACGGGGAGGGGAAGAGGGATTCTGCTCGCCCAAACGCCGAAGGCGGGGCTGGTGGTGGATCGCGTGGGTGGCGGGCAATCATGCGAACCTGGTGTCCCATCGTTGACGGATAGTCCACCCGCCGAAATATCTGTGGGCTGGTCGTATGCTTTGTGTGTTTTGAGGCACGAAGGGGTCTGCTGCGGACAGAGACCCTGCTGGGAGAGAGGGATGTCTGGACCACGTGTCATGGGTGTGAATGCTGCTGAGACGATCTCGAGCGTGCCTGTATGCCGCTTTGCTGCTAAGCTTTCGCGCTCCCGTTTGTGCGTGTGTGCTGCTGTTGCTGCTGCGGTGTATTTGTGTGCTTGGTGCAGTGCGACCCCTGTTCGCTTGCCAAGCGGCGTTGTGATGGGCAGCCGCAGTGCTCGCTATGCCGTAAGAAGGGCCTGACGTGCGTCTACGGAGAGGTAAGCTCGTGCTCACGGTCTACCCAAAACTTAGGACAGTGTCGCTGTTGGCAGTAGCCAGTACTGCTGTGGAGTGCGTGCTCTTCCTCTAATGGCTGCTGCGTCAAGAACGTCAAGCAACTCGTGTTTTTTCAATGTCGCGGATAAAAAATTAGGAATCGAATCAGCAGCGGCTGAAACATTTCACCGCCGTCAAGCCATTGCCGCGGCAGGGACCAGACCATGGCACATCACGTTCTCGTGGTCCACCAGAAGGTCTCTCTTTTGCGAGCGTAGGTACCGCGTGTTTTGTAGGCCAGGCCTGGCCAAGCTTCCACGCGGCGGGATGAGGGGCACCAACCTTCATTATTTTGCCGCCTTATCTCTGAACTCTAGACCACCGCCGCCTCTGCTCGCGGCGCCGCCACTATTTTGGTCTTCTTTGCGGGAAAAGAACGCATGCGCGTATGGCCGTTGAACCCTGTGGCCGTCAAGTCGTCTTTCATGTTCTGCCTTCACCCGTTAACCCTACCGCTAGATGCCACGCGTGGTACATTCGATGCACCATCTCTCCGAGAGACCCCAATACCCAAACATCCGTAGATCCTCCCTTTGCTCCGCACTTCGGTACACTCGGTACTCGGCGGGTGGAGAATTAAAGAAATGCGGAGTCCGTCATCCCGGCCGGCGCTAGGCCTTGTGCCACAGGTGTTCTTTGAAAGTCGAGCGGCAGCAGCGCAGCGAGATGCCACAGCTGTCAACACATTGTAGGACTTAGCTAGGGCTCAGCCACCGTTTTTCCTACAGCACATGGCGGCGGCGATCTTGGAAAACCGTGCCTGCTCTCTACTAAAGCCCCAACATGGTCGGAGGAATGCACAAAATATGTCTTGCGCCAGAGCCACGCACCAAGAGACCAAGAGGTTCGGTTCGTAGATTGGGGCAATCGCCCGTGATGAATCTGCCCACGATACACGCAAGTAGAATCTTTTTCAGCGATCTTTCCATTGTGCCCCTGGATATGCACACAGTCAGCTGCACACGGGCACAGCCTACACCCTTGGGTATTCATGCAGCAGCACGTCCGTGCCTGGGTGGGCTCGAAAATTGGAACAAACCCAAGGACCCATGGTCCGTTGTCCGTTACCTCAAGCAGCAGTCCATAATAATAATGCCTCTTTTTCTTTTTTTTATCGTTGCCTCCCTATCTTGCAGTTTCATCTGTTTTCAGCGGCCAGCTTGCCTTCCCTGTGTCTAGTACCATGTGTCAATTGTATCTACACTAGCGTGTGTCCTTCAGCACCAGAGCTTGCGGATGGTGACGAAGCAGCAGCAGCAGCAGCGCTCGCTGGGCACCGCAAAGCTGTCCGTCCTTCGCGTGCCGCACACGTTTTGCGGGAAGAGATTACGAGCGGGAATTTACGGTTGAACGTGGCACACAAAGTACTGCCCGGGCCTTGGGTCAGATTTCGGGGTAAATAGTTCTCCCGCCTCTGTTGTTTGTCCGGTCGTGGTTGAAGCACGTTGGAGCTTTTCATCTGCCACCAAGCCTGCCGGCCGCCCAGCGCTGCACTCTTTGCTTCATTTCGGCGGTGGTACTGGCTCGTGTGCGGCGGCACAGGCCACGGCGCGAAGAAATGGCCACTTTCTGAATTGTTGTGCATGCAAAAGTACAGCAGCACATAAATACCTGCCCGCCACGTACGCGGAGGTCCGATGACCGATGACCCCATCGAATATTCTGGCGGTGCAAGAACCACCGTAGTCTATCTTAGACCTCTTTCTGTAGATAGAGATGGATTTATTGTATCATATCAAGAGAATAAAGAACCACCAGGAGACCCTCGAGACCTCTGACCGCCACCACCGCAACCCGCCCGTCTCTGAAAGTGCACATGTCTGATCACGCGAAAAAAAAATCCTGCATGCATATTAACAAAATGTTAAAACGCAGCGGCAAAAGTCGGGGCCGAAGGGAAGGAAAGGAGCACACCCTCTTCAGCAGCAGCAGCAGCAGCAGCAGCAAGGGGGCGCGCAACTCATGCAGATGTACCCCAACCGCAGGGGGGGCGGACGACATCACGCCGCCTCGGCAACGACAGCAGTGGACTACCGCCGGGACGAGGAGGCGGAAGGCTTCGACGTAAGGCCGGTCTCCAGCCGCGGCGGCGCCGGCCGCGGCGCCGGCGGTGGAGCCCCCGGCGTCGCGGGCGCCGGTGCCGGCGGAGCAGTTGGTGTGGGCTCATCCGGGGAACCGATGCCGACCTCATGGGCAGGGCGCGACGCCGCCGCCGCCGCCGCTGGGTATGGCGCCGGTGACTATTACCAGCACTACAGGGGCAGGGTCGGACTCGGGCGGGGAGGCCGCAGCGGTGGGGGCGGGGGCGGCCCGCCACCGAGGGGACCGGCGACGGCGGCAGCGGCGGCGGCGGGCCTCGCTTACGAGGAGCACGAGGCCGAGGATGGCGGCATGTATGGCACGTACCGCGGTGGCGGGGCGGGCCGTGGACGGCTCGTGTCGCCGCGGGGCGGCGGTGGCGATGAGCGATTCCACCCTTACCCCGGCAAGTACCGCCGGATAGACGGGGCCGGGTGGTCGGCGCGTCAACCCTATGTTCCGGATGGGGGTGGCGGTAGACCGATCTCGGTCAGCAACGATCCCCCCCGGTACCTGGAGGGTAAGCCGGGAGGCGGCGGCGGCGGCGGCGTCACCGAGAGGCACATGGGCGCGGCCAACGAAAGGAACATCAGTGACAGCACCGCCGTTGGCCGGGAGGGGGGAACGCGGGGCGGCGGCGCCAGCGGCGGCAGCTCCCCTCCACGCAGTCAGTGGCACACCGGCGGCGGCGGCGGCGGTGGGGGCGGCGGCGGCGGTGGGGGAGAGACAGGCCAGTGGAGAGCCGTGTCCCCTTCCAACGTGTCGCGCGCGGACGTCCATTCTCGCCCCGCCCCGGCGGCGGCGGGCAGCGAGCACACCGCCGGGGCACCGTCCCCTACGAGACCGTACGGCGGCGGCGGCAGCCCCACGGATAAGCCGGGTTGGAAGCCGGCGGTCGGTTGGCAGCCACGTAGGTCGCCGCTCTCGCACGAACCGGGACCGGCAACGGAAGGTGAGGACACCGGGAAGAAGCGAGAGCGCGACGACGACGGCGGTGGACGTGGCGGTGGCGGTGTTGGCGGCGGCGGGGATGACGGCAGTGGCGGAGCTCGTCGCGACCATTCAGGAAACGCGTCGGCGCCGGCGCCGCAATCAGCGTCGTCGCCGATGCGTTCTTCTCCGTCGAAAGCCGAGGAGAACGGCCGTGGCGACGGTAGCGCCGGTGCCTCCAGCAGCAGCAGCGGCAACGGCAACGGCGGCCCGGCTGAAGGAAGGGGTCGAGCACAAGGACCCGGAGAGCGCGGTCCTCGTCCCGGTTCCTCCGCTGCTACAGCAGCAGGAGCACCGGCTCCCGGCCCTTCGGCTTCGCCGAGCGACAGGTCGAGGCCTAGTGGGGATGGGTACCCGGCTCCGTACGGACGGGAAGGAGCTCAGGGCGGCGGCAGCGGCAGTAACACCAGGAACGTCGTGCGGGGCGTCGATGTCGCCGGACGAGGAGGACCAGGCGGCGGCGGCGGCGGCGGCGGCGGCGGTGTGACGGCCGCCCGCGCCGCCCTCCCGCCCTCCCGCGCCGGTCAGCTTCCGCCTTCCCAGGGCCACCCCGAAGATGCCGCCTCCGACCAACTCCACCACCACTACCGCCAGCAGCAACAGCAGGCGTACGACGCGGAACTGGCTGAGCGTTATCGCCAAGGCGGGAGGAAGGCCAGGTTCGGGATGGCGGGTAGAGTTGGGGTTTCCTCGGCGTCACACGGGGGGGGGGGGCGGCCTACCTCCAGCGGTGGTGGGCCCCCCTGGGACGCGTCGTCGGCCGTTGGGCGGCCGCCGGCCGGCGGGGGAGGGCGCTGGAGCGAGCACGAGTACTGGGGGGGGCACGAACCAGGAGGAGCGGTGCCGCCGGGCTACCAGAGGTGGGGGGGTATGATGGTGCCCCCGGAGCAGCACGACCTCGCGGGCCCCCCTTCCGTCAGCGTGAGTGGTGGTCGTTTTTAGCCGGTACCGCAGGCACACGGAAGGATTTAGGAGAGATGCGTGTCACTTGCATGTGCAGGGCCTAGCCTTTGTTGTTTCGTGCGCGTGCTCGCGCGCTCGCCGGTAAAATGAAGAACTGTATAACGGTAAGAACGGTACTGCAGGGGGATGCTGCAGCTCATGTTCGCTGCCTCTACTTCCTAGCGGTCGCTCCGGTTGGTTGCCTGCGTTTCTCGTGGCCGCGGTCGTGGGTTTTGTCCACTTGGCTTGAAGAACTAATTGCAGCAGTGCTTCTGGCCTTGGCTCAGCATGACATCCCTAGAATATTATTGCTCCGTGTCTCCTCTCTCTCCGGGGGCTTGTATGTGTGCGTGGACAGCGGAGGCACCTGCTGCCATGGCCCCTGGAGAAGATCGAGGAAATGGAGGCGATGGGAGCGGGAAGAGGGGGAGAGGACGACGAGGACTGGGTCCGGATTGCCGCCAGGATGTCCTCCACGATCGCGGAGGCAAAGGACCAGTGAGTGCGCCCGCGTCTCTCTCTCTCTCTCTGCTGTTTATTTGTGGAATAAACGGGTATGGGCCTGGCGTGTGTGCGTCTTGCTTGCCCCGCTTCGTAATCGGAAGGCATCATGTGCCTTCTGAGGGGGGTGTAGTGTAGAAGGAGAGACCGGTTCTTTCGGCTCTCGTCCGTGACGGCACTGTCCGTGTCCTCAATCCATCCCATCCATCCTCCATCGAAGCGTGCGTTGGTTTCATTGTCCTGGGCAGTCAAGCAGGCAGATGACAGCATGGAACAGGACAAACCCCAACAGAAATCGGAACATTCCGACAGGACTTCTGAATCGTCCGCTACTACTTCAGCAGTACCACCCCTCACCCCCCCCCCCACCCCCTTTGATGTGACCGACTCACCTCCTGCAACCAATGGTACTGCAGATGGGCCGCGTACTGCGAGATGATGAGACATCAACGCTGGATGAGCGGCAGCAGCAGTGCCCGCAGCAGCAGCAGCAGGGCAATGGTCACTGCCGGTGGCGGCCCCCCCGGCGCACCCCCCGGCCCAGCGCGTTGGGCGGCCGAACAACACCCTTCTTCGTGGCGTTATCGGTGAGCAGGGGGGCGCGTGCCGAGAACGGTTTGGGTTGGTTGGTTGCTTCTCCTGCGGATTAGTGCTGTGACTTTTGTTTGTTGCTTTCTACAACGGTGGTGTTGAGGACTAAGAATGGAGGAGAGACGCATGCATACCAACACACCGCTCGAACGGTAGGAATTAGTGTGGGCGAGATTGTTTTTGCGCCACACGCTTTTCTCTGCTCTGTTGTTTTTTGCTTTCGTTTTGATGGGGGTTACTTGTACGGGCCATTCCTGGACCGCAGGGCACCTCTGTTCCGTTCGACCCCTACTTGTACTTTTCTTCGGTCATGTCTTTTTTTATTCTCAATTTTGTGGCCTACTTCTGTTCTCCCCTCCTGGCGTTGTATTGGACAGATCCGAGCCGACGGGCGCTTCTGCCGCTGCCGCTGCTGCGGCGGGATACCCTGGCGGCATGCCTCCTAGGAGCCGACGGCCACCACCGGAGGCAGGGCCGTACCGCCAATCGGTGGTGAGTGGCTGACAAGAAGCTACGATACAGTATTTATAATAGTGTGCGTGCGCACATGTCATCTTGCTTTTATTTGTTTTCACTTGAACCCCTACGGGGCAAGGTTAGAGTTTGTTGGCAACAGGCGGCGGTTCAGCAGTGGACGCAGAGGTTTTCGTTGCTCTTTTGTTTTTTTTGCTTTCGGTCGACCGTGAAAGGAGCGCGCGCGCTACCCTCCTGCATTTTTTCGCTACTGCTGCTGTGCAGTGTGCGAACTGTTTGTTATCCGTAGGCGCTCCACAGCAGTTGGTAAGTATTTTTCACGCCGCATGGTTCTCCTGAAAGTACCGCCGGCTTGTGGATTTGAAGCACGTCGGGTGCACGCCATGATACGCACACGCGCGGGGTGACATTCCACCACCGTCGCACACCAACCTACAAGTAGCCGTGGGGCGCTGACTGATGCCCTTCATTCTCCCGTATGTGCGCGGCTAATGTGATGCTGCCATCCGCAGCAGGGGTACAGCGTAGCTCCCGGGGCAGGCCCGTCGCCGCCGCCAGCCCGATCCAGCTCGGTGGTGGGGCGCTGCTCGTTCTGCGGGGAGGCATGGAGTACTGACAGTCCCGCGGCGGCGGCGGCCATCAAGGCCGGCCGCTGGTGTTGCCCGGCGTGCGAGTCTGGCACCCAACCTGGTCCCATGCCCCGGCACTGGGAAGACGAAGATGTAAGACCTGTCGTTTTTGGGTGTCTTGAGACCAGGAGCGTTTCTGGAGTCTGTTGCCACGACGTGTTTCGTACGGGGACGGGACGATCTTGCTTGGTCGTTTGTTGTTCGCGTTGGCGAGATAGTTTCGTCGGCGTGGTGTACGGCAGTTCGACCTCCTGAACCAACTAAATAGGGGTATATCGCTGTAAACCATATATCCCAGCTGCCGTCCGCCAACCCCATTGCTCCTTCTCAATGTTCATGCGACTTCTTCTTGCAGGGGTATATCGCCATGCCGAGGGTGATGCCTGGGCAGCACCCGTACTACTCGGTTGAAGCCGCGGCGGCTTCGGCAGCGGCGGCAGAAGCCGCCGCCCGAAGTGGCAGGCACCCCCCAGCAGCCTGGGCGGAGCGCGGCAGACCGGTACGATGTTTGCGCATGTAGCGTTTTATTTATTTGTTTTGCTCTTTTTCCTTGGTCCTATGCATACAGTGTCGCCTGTGTTGCTGTTGCTGTTGCTATTGTTGCTGTTGTTGTCGTTGTTGTCATTGTTGCTTGTGTTGATGGCCGGCGGTGCAGGTTTGAGGGCAGGGTTTAGATGGGAAGCAGCTCGGCGTCTGCGGGGTGGTAGTCGCTTCACCCTTCCAAGCTACACACCGTGGTTATTATTTTCATCAAGGTGTTGTCTACTTGCACCACCATATGGCTTTCTCACCTTCGGAACCCCCACCCGCTTGCACCCCCACCCCTCCCACCTACCTACCTACCTACCGCCCTGGACGGGTGTATCGACAACAGCCTACCGTCGGCCGAATGCACGGCGGCAGCAGCGGTGGTGGTCATCCCCCGGCTTGGCGTCAAGAGGAGATGGCTGTCCAAGCGGAAGCAACCGCTGCTGCTGCGGCGGCGGCAGGACGCGCATTACCCTCCAGTCGCCGTCCTACAGGTGCGCATCTATTCTCGCTCTCACTGCTGTGCTGGTAGGTATTAGCTTCTTGAAGCTTATGAACTTGTAATGAACAGAGCGGTTTGCGTGGACCATTTTTTCTTTTTTTTTCCTGCAGGTGCTAGGTTGGCCGTGAACGTTTTTTGCGAACCTCGCATCTCTGTGTTCTCAGTCTGAACACTCTGGCGGTGTTGTTTTTTCTTTCTATTTGCCATCGTGGTTATTTTTCAACACATGATGCACCGCTGTGTACCACAACATCGCGCAGATCCCGGTCGTCTGTGACCTGTGACGTCGTCTGACGTACAGCATCTGGTTGTCTCCCCCGATCTCCCTTTTGAAACATGGAGTGTATACGTATCAAATCCCCTTTTCGGCCAACCCCACCTCCTCCCCCTTGTCTCTATACTTGGAACGAAACAACGAACGAACAGGCAGAAAGAGCCCGGTGACGGTCATGGGAGGAGCTAGGCCGCCGCCGCCCCACCAAATGACGGGTCCATCCAGACCCGAACGCGACGAAGCTGATGCTTCCGCCCCTGCAGCGTCGGCGCCGGAAGGGAGCAACCACCGCGACTCCCGACGGCCTCGTCCGTCTTCCCCCTCCCCTCCCGGCGGCGACCGCCGGCAACGGCCGCAGCAGGAGCGGCACCCGGATTCATCGCCGCAGTCGCGCGGGCAACGACCACCCAACTCTCCGTCCTCGTCTTCCCTCGCTCGCGTGGTCACTTGTGGGGACAACGACATCAGCAGCAGCAGCGGCGGCGGCGGCGGCGGCAGCTCGAAACGCGACGGGAAGGACGAGCGCGGCGGTGACGGCTCCAAGCGCGAAGGCGTCCCTGGCGGCGCTGGCTCGAGCAGCATCGATTCGAAGGGAGAAGACTCGAACGGCGGCGGCGGCGGCGGTTCCTCTAAGCGTGACGACTCGAAGCACGACGACTCAAACGGCCGCGGACGTAGCCCGAGCGGGAGTGGTGGTGGTGCCAGCGGCGGGGGCGACGCAGACGGCGGCGGTGCTGGTGGAGCAGGCGGCGGCGGCGGCGGCGGCGGTGGCGGCGGCGGCACGGACGGTGGCGGCGGCGGCGGCTCAAGCAACGGTGGCGCGAACGGTCGCGACAGTGGCGGGGGCGGCTCGAAGGACGCTTCGTCTGGCGACCGTTCAGACCGCGGCGCTGATGGTGATGGTGGCTACGACGACGGCGGCGGCGGCGGCGGCGGCAGCGGCAGCGGCGGCAGCGGTGGCGTTTCGTCGTCATCCCCCGCCCCCGTAGACGACAAGAGGGGAGGGTCTACGTCCCCAGCCCCACCCGGTGGTGGCGACAGGAGCGATGCCCCCCCAACCGCCGCCGGCAACGGCAACGGCAACGGCAACGGCAACAGCAGCAGCAACCGCGACGCGGAGGCCTCTTCGTCAACTCGTCCTCGCGGGGGCGGTGAAGAAGGGGGCGCCGCGGATGGTGACGAGGGTGCGAGACCTGCCGGGCAGGAACGGGAGGGCGGCAAGAAGACGGCGGTGAAGAACACGGTGGAGGACATTCTTGCCAAGGAGTGAGTTGGTCGTTGTAAGCTGTGCTCCGAGTAGTAGTTGCCCGCTTTCAGCGGGTAGCCGGGAGTCACGAGCAATCGCCCGGAGGGGTGCAACAACAAGCGGAATGTGTTGTTTGTTGGATGCGTATCCAAGAATGGACGTCGGGGGTGTTTGCAACTTTGTTCCACCCTACAGGTAGCATACTGCTGTGCGTCTTACAGTTTTGGTGTTTGTGCTGCATTTTTTCTCGGCCGACAAAAGGTAGTGGCTTCGGTCCAGTCGTCACGAGCGCTTCGTGTTCCGATCGTGCTGTTTGTCCGAAAACAATAACAATAAAACAGGTCTGGAGAGGGGGGCTCCGCGGATCCTCTCGAGGAGAGCGGCTACACCACCAACCAAGCGGGGACGCCGACGCGCGACTCCCAGTCACCTTGGCACAGAGAGGTTTGTTCGAGTTTGGTTAGGCATTGTGTCGCCTGCTTGTTGCTAGCCTTCCATAGCGAGGCCACCGGCCGCTCCGGCTTGGTGCCATTTTTGCTGAATATGGAGGCCTATTAAAGTCTTTCGTGGGAAGGCCACCGACTTCTCTTATTCCGTTTCTTGCTTGTTTTTTTACTTCGTAGGCATGTGTCGAGGGTTTGGGCATCCGATGTGATGCGTGCGTATATTGCGTTTCCCTTATGCGGTGAATCGACGTGCTCACCCACCCTTGTCTTCCGTTGCCGATTTCGGTTGTCTTCAGGACGACGAGAAGCACCCGGACGTTGCGGAGGCCGCCGGCGCCGGTCTCGGTGACAACGACAGGGCCAGGCCCAGGGCCAAGGAAAGGGGGTGGGACTTAGAGAGCACCTCCGACCGCTTCCCAGGGCGTACCTCCTCGCAGGGCGGCAGCAGGTGATTTGTTGGTGATAAATGTTTTTTAATACGTACAGTACGGTCGTCATGCGACGTGATCGTGGAGAGCATTGACTGTATGCCTACCGTCCATCGTATGGTACATACGGCTGTAGTGGGCACGACGCGTTTTTGTCGGCAGATGTGGACTCTCGTTACAGTAGATGGATGCTAGTGTCCCGACACGGACGGGTCTGCTTCTGCCGCCGGATGGCTGCGGCGGAGAGAGGTCGGGCGACTCCCGCCCATGGCGCAGAAGCCGTAGAGTTGCCCTTAACCTTTTGCTATTTGCGGGTAGCTTGTAGAAGGTTGGCGGCATGAATTCTCGCCTACATAGTCAGAGTCGACGGGATTACGCGCACTTGTCGAAGAGCGCAAAAGTAGCTTTGGCTTTGGCGACGACTACTGCTGCTACGACTGCTGCTGAATCCCCGTAACACCGTCGTGTTCTCTTGCTGTTCTTGATTGCTCTCTCTCTCTCTCTCTCTCTCTCTCTCTCTCTCTGAATTGCTGCGCCTTTCTCCAAACACGGCTCGGTTTGGTTCGACAAAAACAGGTGGAACGAGCACGAGAAGGCTCATTTACAGGAACGGCCGTCCTCTCGGAGGTGCGTGTTTTTTTCCGTACCACGCCACACTTGGTGGTGGTGGTGGTGGTGGTGGTGGTGGTATAAGCACCCGCCCTCGGTGTTTCAGTGCAGTGCTCCCTATTGTGTGTCACAGATCCCGCTGCCTGTTGCACACATCTTTTGCGTTGCGTGTGTTTCGTGGTCTTGTTTTTTTTTGGGAAAACGACACAACAGGGTATACCCTGGTCGAAAAGCGACACACCTGGGTACACAGTCATTAACAGCAGTAAATGCACTCATATCATTGGTCAGCGCCCGATTTCACCCCGGTGCGTCCGAAAAGGCGCAGGGTATACCCTGCCGTGACTACTTTTCTCAGCAACTGTACCCTGTTTTCGGAAATGTACCCAGACCTGACGGGAAAAGAGACCCTTTCATCACTCATTTCCCCCGCAGGAATCTTCCCAACTCCTTTTCCTCTCCAACCATGGGATACCAAACGGCGAATCTTCCCACCCAATAACAACCATGGCAACGGGGCAGGAATCAGTTTCCGCCCCTGCCAAACAACACCAACCATCAACTCTTCCGCTCGAAATCAACGATGGTCGGGCAACACCCCAGCACAATTGCTCCGTTTGGAAACATGCACACACGCGTACAATACCCCGTGGACTACTGCTTGCTGCAGTCTATGTGCGAGATGCACGGGTCACGCTATGAGAGCAAGACCGATCCAGCATGGTTGACATGCATATGCATGTGTGCGGGCGTGTGTTGTCGGTTGTGTCTCAATTGCGATGCGTTTCTTGCTTGAACTACTGCTGTAGCAGCAGCGGCCACGCTTACCAGCCAACCAAGCCGACCAATCAATCAATGTAGTAAGAAGACGTCAGGCTTCAGCGGGATGAGCCGATGAAATACAACGCGAGCACTCTTTCTTCTTTCTACCGACAGGGAGGGTGATTGAGTTGGACGACACAGTAGGGTCCTGCTGCTAGAGTAAGGATAAGACTCGTGTGTACGTGATTGATGTCAAGGGCATGTCTGTGTGTGCTGGTCCTGCCTCTCCCCTCCACCCTCTCTGCGGGCGCGAGCTCGCCGCCAGCACAGCGCCACACATTGGCACATGCATATGCATCTCAACCATGCTGGATCGGTCTTGCTCTAATGGCGTGACCCGTGCATCTCGCACATAGACTGCAGCAAGCAGTAGTCCACGGGGTATTGTACGTGTGTGTGCATGTTTCCAAACGGAGCAATTGTGCTGGGGTGTTGCCCGACCATCGTTGATTTCGAGCGGAAGAGTTGATGGTTGGTGTTGTTTGGCAGGGGCGGAAACTGATTCCTGCCCCGTTGCCATGGTTGTTATTCGGCGGGAAGATTCGCCGTTTGGTATCCCATGGTTGGAGGGGAACAGGAGTTGGGAAGATTCCTGCGGGGGAAATGAGTGATGAAAGGGTCTCTTTTCCCGTCAGGTCAGGGTACATTTCCGAAAACAGGGTACAGTTGTTGAGAAAAGTAGTCACGGCAGGGTATACCCTGCGCCTTTTCGGACGCACCGGGGTGAAATCGGGCGCTGACCAATGATATGAGTGCATTTACTGCTGTTAATGACTGTGTACCCAGGTGTGTCGCTTTTCGACCAGGGTATACCCTTTTGTGTCGTTTTCCCTTTTTTTTTTGTCGGCACTAAAAATTTGAAACCCACTTGTGTAGCCCTCCTTTCCTCCCGGGTGAACCCGCGCTGATGACCCTAGAAAACATATTTCGCAAGGTGTTGTAATTGGGCTGACGTGAGGAAAACTGGGAACGACACCCGGCATGACTGGGTGTTCGGTGTTGTGTGAACAAGTGTCGCTTACACCGCACACGATTGAGAGCTAGCTAGATCCGATGCCATTGCTTCTGTTTACAGTCATGTTGCTGTTGGGCGCCGGCTGTTCGATCGTTGCAGCCTTGACCTTCTCTTACGCTGTCCCGCACCCAGCAGAGGCGATGAATCTAACCCCCCACCCCACCGCTACGTGGGCCTGCATCACACGACAGACCGGAGGCATCACCCGACCGTTCAAGTGTGGCGACGGAAGGCGGCGGCGAGAGGCACGCTAGGAACGGCTCCGGCAACCCCCATGGAGCTCCTGCTGTGACCGCCACGGACAACGACAGGTGAGGATTCGTATTTTTTTTTCTGTGTCTGTCTTGTGGTTTTAGGAGTGATGCCCGTCTTGTGTTGATTCATTTTAAGCAATTACATTGACGGGGGGCGGGCCATGTAACCCATTGCTAGATACAAAATACCGCTTCATGCCTGATCCCCTACTGCTATTTAGTGCGACGTTGGGAAGGTACTTTTTCGGAGAGTTGTGTTGAATCCCCCCTCCCCTTTCATGCGTCGTTTTCACGTCGCTGGTCAAGGTCGTCTTGAAGAACGAACGCTGCTTGATCAATCCGTCCCGTCACGCACGCTCTGTGTCCCACAACGCAGGCCTGCCGTTGGAGTCGAACGCTCGGAGCACAGCCCTCCACGGGGTCGGGGTCCCCGCTACTGGCCCCAGGGGGGGTCAGGGGGTCGCACCGCGTCGCCCGACACCCGACACCCCTCGGAGTACTCCGCGGCTCCAGCTTCGCGCGGGTCCGCCGGCTACTCCGTTACGGGCGGCGACGGTCGTCGAGGGTACTTTTCGACGACCGCTCACGCGGGCCCTGACGAATCGGGTGGCGGTAAAGGGGTCCTGTCGAGGAAAGAAGCGGGGGGGTGGCGGCACCACGAGCGCCCGCAGCACACGCACTACCGCTCGGAGCTCCATCAGCACTACCAGTACCACCACCACCACCAGCAGCAACAACACCATAGCGGCGGGGGCGGTGGCATGTCCATGGCCCACCACGCTCGCATGCTCCCAGTTCCCCCCCCGCCGGGGTCTCCAGCGCACGTGGCGCCCTCCTCCGCACGGAGGGCGCCGTCGACCCACCCCTGGATGATGTCCGGCGGGGGACGGGGCGGGGGTGTCCACAGGCTCGAGGACTACAGCAATCGGGTGGTGATGGGGCCGGTCGCGTCGCCGCCGCGGGTGGTGTCCTCTCACGTCGATGGGCCGATGGCGATCGTGGAGGTTGCCGGTGGCGGCGACGCCACAGGGCGGGGGGGTTACGGCCCGTCGGCGGCGGCGGCAGAGGCAGAGGCAGAGGAACCGTACGGCTTTTACGTCGGAGGGAAGAACAAGGGGAGGGGCTGGGCTAGCGCGGCGGCGGCGGCGGCGGCCTCGCAGGACCACGACGAGGAAGCGGAAGCAAGCGCCGCCGCCGCCACCGCGCGTCGTAGCGCGGAGAGGCAAGGGTCACCGCCTCGACACCAGCAGCAAGGGCATGGCAGCAGCGTGGCACCGGCAAGGGCAAAGACAGCAGCAGCAGCTGCCGGTTCTTCTTCAGCACCATCTTCGCTGCCCTCCGGCGGGGGTGGAGCCCGTGCTACCCCTGTCAGGTCTCAAGGACGCGAGTCGCCGAAGACGGCGTTGATGGCCCGCGTGGCGCAGGAGTCCCGCTCGAGTGCGGAGGCGGAGGAGGGGCGACCCCCGGAGGCAGGCCCGGAGGGCGGCGGCAGCGATGGCGGTGGTCGAAGCGGGGACGATACCGAGAGCGCTAACGGTCGACGACCGCGCGAAGGGACCGCCGGAGAGGAGGAGGAGCTGCGCTCTTACGGCGACGGCGGCGCGGGTCAGCAACAGGAGTACCGACAGCAACAGCAGAAGATGAAGCTGCAGAGAACGGAAGAGCGCGCGACGGCTGGTGGGGGCAGCGGCGACGACTGCTCGCTCGCCCGCAAGAAGACGGCGGTCGACAGCCTGACAACGGAAGGTTGGACGTTTCGGACCGGGGTGGGCTCGAAGGCTCGCGGCGGCGGCAGCGGCGGCAGCGGCGGCGGCGGTAGCCAGCGTGGTACCTTGTCGACGGTGAAGGTCAGGTTGTCGCCATCGCCACCTCCGCGGTCATCTTCGTCGTCGCCACCGGCCTCCATCAAGCCGAAGCAAGAGAAGCGTCGTGCGGAGAGCCCGAGTCGCCGCGGCATCACGGACGACGGGGGCGGCGCTCGTTCTCCTTCCGCGGAGGCGGCGGCGGCGTCGCCTGTTCCCGCTGCTGACACCGACGCGAGGAGAGATGATGCCGTTCGCGAGGCCAAGGACGGCAACAGCAACATGTAGGCGACGCCGGAGCATGAGCAGCAGGGCGGCGAGGTGGCGTCGCCCCTGTCTGTGAGGGCTGGGAGACCGAGCACCCGTGAGACACGAAAGCCTTCCTTGCCACCCGGCATTGCGTTGGTTCCGGCCAACGCGCTCTTTTAGAGTTTGTCTCTTGCTACCGTATGCGCCTGCTTTTCACCCCGAGCACCAGACTTTGTGTGTAACCGCACGTTGCCTTCTGGCAATTGGTGGCATCTGCCACGAAGGGTCATTCGTTCACGATGTTCCGCACCAACTCAGGCGCATCTAGGCACCGCCCTGTGGGGAAGGGCTCCTTGCGTATATCATCCCTTGTACCGGATCATCCGGTCGTGGTTCGTCCGTCGTCTTGCGCGTCAGAAGGCGGTGTATCTGCCATACGGGCGCTTTACCTTTTTATTTGCATGTCTTTTTTCCGTTTGCCAATGCTGGAACGAAGCACCCCGCAATGTTTCCTTTCGCGAAGGGGTGTACATGTAAGATGGTCATGTGTCGTCGGTGTGGTGGTTTTTGTCGACGGATGTTGCTCAAGAGTTGGCAACGGGCCAAGAGTCCCTGTAGTTCTCGCGCTCGGTCTTTCGTACGGCGCACGTTTTGTTTAGCCTCCTGCTTGTGCTTCATGCTGTTGTGGCAGTAGCTTTTTTCGTGGCGTACAGTATCAGTTTTGCTCGGCGCGGGACTGCTGTATATACAACAGGGAAGGGGAGAAAGTGCACCTACATTGTTGGTTGTTTTTTTTGTGGCGGGGCCCGAAGAAAGTCTCGAGTTAAAAACGTGTATGGGGTAGAATTCCTGCTTCGAATCGGCGTCCCCCGCCACAGTAG